CTACAGTTCGACACTGATTCGACCCTGATTGGACTCTGGTTCGTCCCTGATTCGACTCTAGTTGAACCCTGATTCGACTATAGTTCGAACCTGATTTGACCCTGATTCGACTCTAGTTCAATCCTGATTAGACTCTTGTTGGACCCTGATTCGACTATAGTTCGACCCTGATTCGACTCTAGTTCGACACTGATTCGACTCTGATTCGACTGTAGTTCGTCCCTGAATCGACTCTAGTTGGACCCTGATTCGACTCTAGTTCGACCCTGATTCGACCCTAGTTCGTCCCTGATTCCACTCTAGTTCGACCCTGTTTCGACCCTAGTTCGACCCTGATTCGACTCTAATTCGACGCTGATTCGACTCTAGTTCGACCCTTCTTCATCCCTGAGTCGACCCTAGTTCGTCCCTGAATCGACTCTAGTTGGACCCTGATTCGACTCTAGTTCGACAATGATTCGACCCTGATTCGACTCTAGTTCGTGCCTGATTAGAATCTATATCTACCCTGATTCGACTCTAGTTGGACCCTGATTCGACTATAGTTCGTCCCTGATTCGACTCTAGTTCGACCTGATAGAATCTGATGCAACCCTAGTTCGTCTCTGATTCGACTCTAGTTTGTCCCTGATTCGACCCTATTTCGTCCCCGATTCGACTCTAGTTGGACACTGGTTCTACCCTAGTTCGACGCTGACTCGACTCTAGTTCGACCCTACTTCATCCCTGATTCGACCCTAGTTCGTCCTTGATTCAACTCTAGTTCAATCCTGCTTAGACTCTAGTTGGACCCTAATTCGACTATAGTTCGACCCTGTTTCGACCCTAGTTCGACCCTGATTCGACTCTAATTCGACGCTGATTCGACTCTAGTTCGACCCTTCTTCATCCCTGAGTCGACCCTAGTTCGTCCCTGAATCGACTCTAGTTGGACCCTGATTCGACTCTAGTTCGACAATGATTCGACCCTGATTCGACTCTAGTTCGTGCCTGATTAGAATCTATATCTACCCTGATTCGACTCTAGTTGGACCCTGATTCGACTATAGTTCGTCCCTGATTCGACTCTAGTTCGACCTGATAGAATCTGATTCAACCCTAGTTCGTCTCTGATTCGACTCTAGTTTGTCCCTGATTCGACCCTATTTCGTCACCGATTCGACTCTAGTTGGACACTGGTTCGACCCTAGTTCGACGCTGACTCGACTCTAGTTCGACCCTACTTCATCCCTGATTCGACCCTAGTTCGTCCTTGATTCAACTCTAGTTGGACCCTGAATCGACTACAGTTCGCCACTGATTCGACCCTGATTGGACTCTGGTTCGTCCCTGATTCAACTCTAGTTGGACCCTAATTCGACTATGTTTCGACCCTGATTCGACATTAAATCGACAGTGAATCAACCCCGATTCGACTCTAGTTCGTCCCTGATTAGACTCTAGTTCTACCCTGATTCGACTCTAGTTCGAACGTGATTCGAATCTGATTCAAGCCTAGTTCGTCTCTTATTCGTCCCTGAATCGACTACAGTTCGACACTGATTCGACCCTGATTGGACTCTGGTTCGTCCCTGATTCGACTCTAGTTGAACCCTGATTCGACTATAGTTCGAACCTGATTTGACCCTGATTCGACTCTAGTTCAATCCTGATTAGACTCTTGTTGGACCCTGATTCGACTATAGTTCGACCCTGATTCGACTCTAGTTCGACACTGATTCGACCCTGATTCGACTGTAGTTCGTCCCTGAATCGACTCTAGTTGGACCCTGATTCCACTCTAGTTCGACCCTGATTCGACCCTAGTTCGTCCCTGATTCCACTCTAGTTCGACCCTGTTTCGACCCTAGTTCGACCCTGATTCGACTCTAATTCGACGCTGATTCGACTCTAGTTCGACCCTTCTTCATCCCTGAGTCGACCCTAGTTCGTCCCTGAATCGACTCTAGTTGGACCCTGATTCGACTCTAGTTCGACAATGATTCGACCCTGATTCGACTCTAGTTCGTGCCTGATTAGAATCTATATCTACCCTGATTCGACTCTAGTTGGACCCTGATTCGACTATAGTTCGTCCCTGATTCGACTCTAGTTCGACCTGATAGAATCTGATGCAACCCTAGTTCGTCTCTGATTCGACTCTAGTTTGTCCCTGATTCGACCCTATTTCGTCCCCGATTCGACTCTAGTTGGACACTGGTTCTACCCTAGTTCGACGCTGACTCGACTCTAGTTCGACCCTACTTCATCCCTGATTCGACCCTAGTTCGTCCTTGATTCAACTCTAGTTCAATCCTGCTTAGACTCTAGTTGGACCCTAATTCGACTATAGTTCGACCCTGATTTGGCTCTAGTTCGACATTGATTCGACCCTGATTCGACTCTAGTTCGTACATGAATCGACTCTAGTTGGACCCTGATTCGACTATAGTTCGTCCCTGGTTCGATTCTAGTTCGACCTGATAGAATCTGATGCAACCCTAGTTCGTCTCTGATTCGACTCTAGTTTGTCCCTGATTCGACCCTATTTCGTCCCCGATTCGACTCTAGTTGGACACTGGTTCGACCCTAGTTCGACGCTGACTCGACTCTAGTTCGACCCTACTTCATCCCTGATTCGACCCTAGTTCGTCCTTGATTCAACTCTAGTTGGACCCTGAATCGACTACAGTTCGACACTGATTCGACCCTGATTGGACTCTGGTTCGTCCTTGATTCAACTCTAGTTGGACCCTGAATCGACTACAGTTCGACACTGATTCGACCCTGATTCGACTCTAGTTCGTCCCTGATTAGACTCTAGTTCTACCCTAATTCGACTCTAGTTCGAACGTGATTCGAATCTGATTCAAGCCTAGTTCGTCTCTTATTCTACTCTAGTTCGTCCCTGATTCGACTCTAGTTCGAACCTGGTTCGACTCGAATTCGACGCTGATTCGACTCTAGTTCGACCCTACTTCATCCCTGATTCGACCCTTGTTTGTCCTTGATTCAACTCTAGTTGGACCCTGATTCGACTATAGTTCGACGCTGATTCGACTCTGGTTCGTTCCTGACTCATCCCTGATTCGAACCTAGTTCGTCCCTGATTCGACCCTAGTTGGACCCTGATTCGAAAATAGTTCGACACTGATTCGACTCTAGTTCGACACTCTTTCGACCCTGATTCGACTCTAGTTCGTCCCTGTTTAGACTCTAGTTCTACCCTGATTCGCCTCTACTTCGTCCCTGATTAGACTCCAGTTCTACCCTGAATCGGCTCTAGTCGACCTTTATTCGACCCTGATTCGACTTTAGTTCGTCCCTGATTCCACCCTAGTTCATCCCTGATTCTATCCTAGTTCGTCTATGATTCGACCTGGGTTCGTCTCAGATTCGACTCTAGTTCGTCCCTGATTCGACTCTAGTTGGACCCTGATTCGACTATAGTTCGTCCCTGATTTGACTCTAGTTTCTAGTTCGACCTGACAGAATCTAATTCAACCCTAGTTCGTTTCTGATTCGACTCTAGTTTGTCCCTGATTCGACCCTATTTCGTCCCCGATTCGACTCTAGTTGGACACTGGTTCGACCCTAATTCGACGCTGACTCGGCTCTAGTTCGACCCTACTTCATCCCTGATTCGACCCCACTTCGTCCTTGATTCAAGTCTAGTTGGACCCTGAATCGACTACAGTTCGACACTGATTCGACCCTGATTGGACTCTGGTTCGTCCCTGATTCAACTCTAGTTGGACCCTAATTCGACTATGTTTCGACCCTGATTCGACTCTAAATCGACAGTGAATCGACCCCGATTCGACTCTAGTTTGTCCCTGATTAGACTCTAGTTCTACCCTGACTCGACTCTAGTTCGAACGTGATTCGAATCTGATTCAAGCCTAGTTCGTCTTTTATTCGACTCTAGTTCGACCCTGTTTCGACCCTAGTTCGACCCTGATTCGACTCTAATTCGACGCTGATTCGACTCTAGTTCGACCCTTCTTCATCCCTGAGTCGACCCTAGTTCGTCCCTGAATCGACCCTAGTTCGTCCCTGATTCGACTCTAGTTCGACCCTGTTTCGACCCTAGTTCGACCCTGATTCGACTCTAATTCGACGCTGATTCGACTCTAGTTCGACCCTTCTTCATCCCTGATTCGACCCTAGTTCGTCCCTGAATCGACTCTAGTTGGACCCTGATTCGACTCTAGTTCGACCCTGATTCGACCCTAGTTCGTCCCTGATTCGACTCTAGTTCGACCCTGTTTCGACCCTAGTTCGACCCTGATTCGACTCTAATTCGACGCTGATTCGACTCTAGTTCGACCCTTCTTCATCCCTGAGTCGACCCTAGTTCGTCCCTGAATCGACTCTAGTTGGACCCTGATTCGACTCTAGTTCGACAACGATTCGACCCTGATTCGACTCTAGTTCGTCCCTGATTAGACTCTAGTTGTACCCTGATTCGCCTCTAGTTCGTCCCTGATTAGACTTTAGTTCTACCCTGAATCGACTCTAGTCTACACTTATTCGACCCTGATTCGACTCTAGTTCGTCCCTGATTAGACTCTAATTCTACCCTGATTCGACTCTAGTTCGACCCAGATTCGACCCTAGTTCGACCATCAGATTGAAATTCAGAATAATGCTTCGACTATCAGGCTGAAATCAGGTGCGTTTTTTTCGGTCTGCAAGAAATCGCTGTTCCACCGACTTCGGTCTGATCATATTTCGACCACTTCGACCCGGGCAGAAACAAAAGAACTATAAATGATCTTTTGTTGTGAGACTCTTATCCTACCATTTGTCTTAAAACATAATTTCTCTGTATAATATAAAACGCAAATTGGAAAGTTTTAAAAAAAATTGATGAGTTCTACAAAAAAGTCTGATCTGAAAATTCTTTAATCAGATTGTAGTGCCTAAGCAGCTTTACTCTCTCTCTCTCTCTCTTTATAAAAACTTCTCGTAGTTACACATCAAAAACTATGCATTATAAAAAGTGTTGTAAGTGGTACCTTGGTGACAGTGACGTTTCGTCCATTGGCGTTGAGTTTGCTGAAGTACTTGCCTAACATCATGAAATAGGGTCTCAGAAATATCCAACTGTAGGAATAGTAGCCCTCGTATTTGGGATCCCTCTTTGCCACTTGGCCATTGTGCCCTATCACGTGGTTGTCCTCTTCGTGCAGGGGGACGTTGATGGCGAAGAAGCAGATGCCGAGGGCGACGAGGATCACCCCGAACACACACAGGGCTATTAATGTTTCCACCAGCATTCTCCTGTGAACGTATTCATTTAGGTTGATTTTAACTGCAAACCAAACTACGGACGAAAACTACCAAGCACCACAGTTTTTGGCATTAAAAATTTGAGTGTCTCCCGGTACCATTGCGCCTAGTAAGTTTCAGATCCTCTACAATTTTGTAATTTCCATTCACTTTCCTATTAAGTATATTAACAATTATTTTAATACTTGAGCGTTTCTTTGCTTAGGTCAATTTTTCTTTTGTAAATTCCGTTCGTAAACTTTTCTGTTTGGCAACACTCATAAAACTGAAAGAAAATCTTGGTACCTGGTTGATTGGAGAAAAATTTTGCTGAAAGAAAACTTCGAAATAATATTTTGAAGTTTTTTGAGTATTGTATATAAATGTATTTGTATGTCTGAAGAAATAAATTCTTTCCTTCTTTCTTTCTTTCTTTCTTTCTTTCTTAGTATTACTTGGTGTAAGATATTTTGAAGTGCAACTACTTTAATGAAGGTGGGCTTAACCTGATCATAATCCACATGGGACCCAGTCTAGAGCTGCATTGGTAGAACCTCAACAGTCTCACATACATCATGAACATGGTCACGACATACATGAGCATGGACAGGAACTGGAAGTGTGGCTTGTCGTGGTCCACTGTGGCCAGGGGATAGGCTGTCATGCCTATGGTCAGGTATGTCCACTCTATCAAATTCCACTCATTCATCGCCCACAGTTTAAGTTTAAGACGCCATGTCACCTATCAAGATTCATTTTTCCATCCAAAATACTTCATCGATAATACTCTCTATTTTCTTGTTGTTTTTCTGTCATTCACAAAAATTTAAGTTGAAAGCCTATTAATTTTTATCAGTGACTTCAAATAAACCATCTACCGGCTTCAAATTTTTCTTGTGGATCGACTGGTATAAAAAGTTCCGAATTTAGTTGTTTCTGTAAAGTGGTTTCTAATTTTCACAACTGTCCAAAAATATGAACTATTAAGTTGCATGAGCTCAAATTTTACAAAATCTTACCTGTTGAAAACAGAGTTGTCTGTAGCTCTCTATTGCATAACTAGCCATGAAAAGAAAGGCTACTATGCCAAAGACACTGTCGCGCCCTTTGTTGACTTCAAAAGCAGCCATAGTCACAACAAAGAGAAAGCCGAGATAGGCGAACAGATAGAGTACAAATTTGGTCACTGGTGCCCTATAGTAGTTGAGGATGGATTGGGCGAGAGAGGGGGAGATGGAAGAGGAGGAGGTTATCGATGATGCCTTGTCGGATGTAGTGGATCCGTTGTCACTTTCATAATCGCCTCCTTCCATTGTTATCGCGTGCTCAAGCATCTCTGAAACAAATTCAAAGAAAACGAACGGGTTTTTGGTTGAACTGAAAGCAGATAAAACTCTACTTTTCTCCCGGGCAAGTTATTTAAAGACACCGGGAATTTTCGATACCTTCAAGTATGGCCTAAAAGCCAAAAGTCTAGCATAAAGTTATAATATAAACACTTTTGTCAGAGGAACCAACGTTCTTTAAAGGTGCTTTGAGGCTCAACATATCTTTCGATAAAATTGTTCACTGATTAAGATATCTTCATGTGGCACTGAATGAAAATGTATGATTGCCATCTCGATGCGGAAGTGGCGCAAGTCTCCGCCTCTCAATCGAAAGGCCAGTGGCACGATGCGCAGCATGAGCCGTGCTGCGGCTGAAGAAACAAATCTCAGCACAGAAAAACAACCAAAAAACGCATGTAGTGTATAACCAGGGACACACTTTCTTCGTAAAGAGCTTGGAGCATATTTTTTGTTGGTCCTTTCCCTCGTGGATATATCTGGATATATTATGGATAAATGCGGTCCTAATCTTATTTGTTTTTTTTTGTTCTTGCGCAGTAGTTCAACTGACCTTCTAACTCGTCCATATCCCAAGTGCCCTCTCTGGCAGCCGGCCTCCTGCTGCCCTGATGCCCTCCCTGCATGCCCAGCCACACACTCTCAGGCAGACACTCCTCCAACTGACTCCTCCCTCCCTTCCTATTCAGAGAGGGTCTGACTGTTGTTGTTCTCTCGCTGATCTCGGCGAAGTTGGCCAGGAAGTCTTCGCTACAACAACTTAACACTGTTACTAATTGAAGAGGAACCCTCATATGCATGACACAAGCTATTAACATCTTCCTTGGTTATCCAGTAATTAATACCACAATTTTGCTTTCATTGGTTTCATTTTTATAAACACCAGATAAAAAAGCCTTATCATGTTAATCTTATTTTGCTGTAGGCAAGTTACTCAGCTTTCAAGACGAAAAAATATCGTCCTCGTGCCGTTAAACTAGTCGCAACCTTCTTACGGTTGACTGCAAAACTATTGCACTGCGAGTGCAATAATTCTGCGATTGTTTGCGAAGATCTCGATGATAACAAAATAAAGGTTAAGGGCTCTTGTCCAGTGTTTATGATACACATGGACATAAAGGCAGCTTTTATGGTAATTTACTTTGAAGTCATCATTCTCCTCCTACGGCAATCAAACATAAAGAGTCATAAAATTATCTACATTTAAGGTTGTTTTTATCAAAAATATAATATTGAAAAGTTTAAATTTCAATCGACCTCCTCAACTGATGGGATCTTTTGAAAAAAAAACAACTAATTTTTCATAAAATTGTTGAGTCAGTCGAGAATTGTTATGATTGATTATCGGTTCACAATATTTCAATAAATAAAGCTTAAAACATTTCATCATATGACAACAACTGAAAATATCAATTATTTTCAAGTGTTGTCGAACTTAAATTCATTGCTAATAATAATCATTTTCGGTGACGAATGAAAACAAAAAAGACAAGACTACTTGTATCAGGGCGACGCTTTGAATAATACGACTGCCTTTTAAAGTCTATGAAGTAGTGTTTGCCTTAGAAAAAACAATAAAAGTTTCAAAAAAATGATATATATTTTGATATAAAAATCATCCCCCACACGCTATGTAAAGTACAAAGTGATACATTTTGAAAAGCAAAGTATTAAATATACCAAAAAGCTTGCCTCAGTTCAATTTCGAACATTAAATCTCCACTTATGCGTTAAAACCGTTAATTTTCTCAAACTGGCCATATGGCAATTTTTAACCCTCTTAACTGTACATAAAAAGATCACGGCAAGCAATTTTTCACATTTGAGCTCAAAACAAGAATATTTTAGATTGGTATAAAATATCCCTTCAAAAATTGCTAGTTAAAATAGTCGAATTTTTTCCTGGAGAAAAAACCACCTCGAGCCCAAAAGTTTCGACTCTTTTTTTTTGAAATTCGCAGCAATTAGAACTATGTGCCTCAAATCTGAGCATCAGAAAAAACTGTGCCAGTTGTTCAATTTTATCAACCTGAGCTTCAAAAGTTGACCTTTAACCAATGCTACTCATTGTTCCGACCACCATCCTCCCCCTTCTGATTATTCTATTGTAAGTAGATTCCGCAGTAAGACCGCTTATCTGATCTGATCTTTCTTTAATGGCAATATATTCGATTTCGTGGTCTGAACTTTAAATCTCAATGCATTATAATGGATTTTTTTTTGTCTCGGAAATTCAATATAATCGGTTTAAATTCATGGGCACTCGGTAGGGACAGTGACCTACACGCAACAAATAGTTCACCTATCCAGTGCACAGTTCGGCCTCCTAATGGGGTGGGAAAGAACTATGATTTTGGGTCTGTTTTTTTTTCAGGCAATTTTGTTTACCCCAACAAAACTCGTGGTTCCTCGTAAATTTATTTCAACCGTGATAACTCTGAAAAATTGAAAATCTCATTTTTGCAATTTTCAGCCTAATTTAATCACTGTTTACTGATAAAAACTCACAACAAAAAATTAAGGAACCGATGAAGTTTTCTGCTAAGTACTTTTGAACTTTTAAACCACCCATTTTAACTAAAATGTCGGCGTCATAATAGCTGATCCCTAGCAAAACAAGTTTTTTTTTTCTCGTCTTTAGCAAGAGTCTGGGATATTTACTGAAATATGAGTTCTGTTAACAGCGTGTAATCCCGTCAGCGTTAACAGCGTGTAAACTCAAACGAATCCCACCCCAAGCTACACTTATGCCCCTATCAGACTCTAAATTTTGTCCTTCTTTCACCCCCTTCCCTTCATTTTGAGAAATAAAAAAGATATAAAACGAAAGGTCCAGCAATAACTACCAGTCTCTAAAACCGTCTTAACTTCGCCCCGTCTCCTCAGCTTAAGAAACTAAAAGCAGGATATAAAACGAAAGCTTCAGTGCTGACTCGTAGTTTAGTGCAGGGTTTGGTCTGTGCTCTTCTAAGTCTGATTCGCTGTCAGTCAACTCGTCGCAGTGGTACAGAGCAGTGCTGCTCTTCCTTCCCCGTGTCTCGAACGAGTCATCCACTGAAAGGGCAGAGCTCTGCTGTTCTTCCGCTATGACTTGAAGGCGTTTCAGTCTGAAATAAGTGGTAAGCATGCAAAATTAGGCAGTCAGTGAGTCAGTTGACAAATGCAGGGCTAACAATTAAGTTAACAGAAAAAGGGCAGTTGAGTCAAATAATAGTTATAAACAAAAAATCAATCAAGTTGCCAGTTCATATCAGTAATCAATCTCAAATATACTCAATCTCAGCCAAAAATAAAAAAAGAAATGAAAACGAGCGCGCACCTCCCTTCCTTAATCATATATTTTAATGGGTTCAATTTTTGGGTTTTGTCTATGGATAGAACTTCGCAAAACGACATAGACAAGGAAAGAAAATAAAACCAACTTGCATTGTTGCGAATGGGGCTAGCCTTTTGCCTTTTCTAGATATACTTACAAAAATTTTAATAATTATGGTCACGGAAACATAAGAGCTTTTTCTTGTTCACATTTTTTTTCAAAACTGATCTGCGAATCATTTCTCGTAGGTCAAGTGAGTTTTCAAAAAACATGGCTCTTCACGCTTCATTAATAGTCTCTGTTGAAATGATCGAAAAAAATTTCATTAATTTTTTGATCTACCAGATGTTTAGGTAACTTTTTGAAGTGACTCTTTAATCAATGGGAGTAGTTTGAATATGTCTGCCAACCGCAACAGTTAACTTCCAAACTTATTTCGAAATGTTCTCCATTATTTCAATTTCATTTCGCAAAAAAACTTCCTTCTTTTATTAGGCTTAAAAATTGAGTTTTATTCTTTTTTAAAGCTCAAACGTTGAAGGTTTTAGCAAAATATCCAAAGAAAACAGGACAAGAAACCTCCATGGGTGGAGAAATTGACTGCTCTACGTCCATAGCACAAATTGAATACGTTGAAAATTATACCTCAATGATGGTTAAAATTTCAATGAACTAAATTCATTTAACTATACTCAAACCAGTTTTCCAATACTTCATATGCAACTTATGGAAGAGCAAGTTACCGTGAACAGGTGCCGATTTGCGAAATCTGCCACGCAAATACAGATGGTGTACGGATTTAGGGATGTGGAAGCCCCCCCCCCCCCCCCCCCTCAGGGATTCGACCCCTGCCGACCCGAAGGGTCCCCTTTGTACTATTTTGAATATTTGATATTGAAGGACCCTAAAATTAATACTTGATGGTGATGGACCCTAAAATTTTTCTAACGGCGCCTTTGGCGCCAATATATACTAATTTTAACATGGGAGCGCGCGCCAAAATACGCGATTTTTTGGTCAAATTTTTCCAAAAAGTGCCTAAAAGCGCTTTTGTCAACAATTTGCTTCCGGCGCAGAAAATTTGGTCGAACTGGGTTCTTTATAGGGAGAGCTCAGAAAATAATTTTTGACGACCTAAAAAAAATGTCGACAAAATTTCCGCACTCCCTCGAGAAAATCTTAGATCCGCTACTGCCCATATATATGGTGAAAAGACTTTGACAGGTCGGTTTATTAAATTACAAAATTAAACAATGGAGCAATTTTCTCCAAAAAAAAAACAAATTTTGTTTTCAAAGAATTGCAAAATCGCAATTCCTTCTGAGTACCTTCGCCATCAAAAAACTTGTATCAAAAAATCAAAAGATTAGGTTCGAAATCAGAAGGTTATGCAAGAAAAATAATAAGCACGGAATGATCAGTTGCTATCCCTAATAGTACAGAAATCTCCGACCAAATTTAAATCTACAAAAAAACTCTACTGTTTGGATTTTTTTTTTGCAATTTTTAATCAATATTTTATTTGAAAACTTCTCTGTTCAATTGGTTCAAATCAGTGTTCTAGAAGAAAGAAGAGGAGTTTTGATCATGCATCAAAAACTATTATCAAACTGAAATTTAGGCTTTTTCGGGTTAACAATTTGTTTAAGGAATCACTTGAATCACTTGTATCCTGGCTCACAACGGATTCAAACTTCTTTGCGATCCCGGCCAACTTAGCCCGGAAGCAACAAATGTGCCTGGGACGGCAGAATTACTGAGATTTAATCTGTATTTATTTGATAATTATAGATATAATTATTTGTCTGCTTACCTGTTATCGGCTTATTTTTCACATCTTGGACCTGTTTTTTTTTGCTGCGCTCATTTTTGATTGTTGTTTTTAGTCTTTGATTTATTGCTCCAGTTTGTAGTTTTACTTACCTTGACTTTTTTCTTTTTTATTTTGTACGCTTTCCAAAAAATCCTCGGCCGAATTCCTCGGCCTAAAATAATCGAAAAATTCCCTGTCACAGCGACTAAGCTCAAATTTTTTTTTACACTTATAGTTTTGACCCTCGGATTAAACAAATTTTTGATTTTAACCGTTTTTCTAACTTTTTGAATGTTCTCGAAAACTACCCTGCCATATTTGAGATTTGGTTCAATTCAAAGAACGGGCTGTGGGAAACTCATTTGCTCATGCAATTACTCCCAAATTTTCTGACACCAAAAGTTATGGCCCTCGGGAAATTGTTTTTTGGCGGTTTTTTATAAGTTTATGAAATCTTTCTAGAACTACTCTTCAAATCTGAGATTTTGAGCTTATTAAAAAATACATTTTGAGTGAAACCTTTCTGAATAAGCTGCTACGCCGTATTTTCCTCACAAAAAGCTATGATTATCGGAGATGTCAAAATGTTGATTGGTTGACCATTTTGTAGACTTTTCTCGCGAACTATCCTCCCAAATCTGATATCATAGGTTTAATTGCAACAACATGTTGTTAAATGATTACCTTGATAACTGGTAATGCCCAGTTTGCTTAAGAAAAATTTTGTAGCTTTCAAATAAGTCGAAGTTTTGAAAGTTTGACAGGTTTTGAAATTTTTCGAGTTTACGCAAAAACTACCATGATAATTCTCAGGTTGTGTTCAATCGAGAAGCCCAGTTTTGGAAATTTTTCTGCTAAAAAGACCTCAACTTTCACTATGCAGAAAAAAGCATGGATTTTGGAAACGGTTTTGACCATTTTTTAGAATGTTTTGATTTTTCTTAAGATTCACACAATTGAATCTGAGATGAATGTTGTGGTGAACTTTCTGAAATGAAAACTGAAAGAACCGGTTGCAAAAATATTTTTGTAAGATAATTGTTCTTTTTTTGGTGAAAACAATAATCTCAAAAATGTTTTACTCTTCTCACTATTTTAGTTGAAAAAAAAAACCAATGTTTTAGGCAAAATCCAATTTTTGAAATCACGTTTTTTGTGCCGCATCAGTATGGCAACTTCATTCAATCTCGAAAACATACCTCCAGCTTTAGCTGGGCTCCTAGAAAGACTTTTTTTTATTTATTGATGCTGAATAGACTCTCTTATTTAACTTTGAGATTTTTGTGAAAATAACCCCCCCCCCCCACACGCCATATGAAGTAAAAAGTCATAGATGTCGCTCGCTCCTAGTAACAAATAAATTATGGCAAATAGCCTGCTTCAACTAATTTGGAACGAGTTCTAAGACGGGTTAAATCTCCGCTAACGCGTTATAGGCGCGAAATATACCGCTCATGAATTTACAAAAAATAATCACAGGTGAATATTTATTTCAAATTTAAGCTCAAGACAACAATACTTTTTAAATGATATTTAAAAAAACTTGTCAAAAAAGGCTAGTTAAGAAGTCGATTTTTGTCTGAAGAAAAAAAAACCATTCCGAGCACAAATATTCCGTTAATTTCTTCACAATTTTACTGGATTTTGTACAGTTTGCCCCCCCCCCCCTCAGAGATTCGACCCCCTGCCGACCCGAAGGGTCCCCTTTGTACTATTTTGAATATTTGATATTGAAGGACCCTAAAATTAGTACTTGATGGTGATGGACCCTAAAATTTTTCTAACGGCGCCTTTGGCACCAATATATACTAATTTTAACGTGGGAGCGCGCGCCAAAATACGCGATTTTTTGGTCAAATTTTTCCAAAAAGTGCCTAAAAGCGCTTTTGTCAACAATTTGCTTCCGGCGCAGAAAATTTGGTCGAACTGGGTTCTTTATAGGGAGAGCTCAGAAAAAATTTTTTGACGACCTAAAAAAAATGTCGACAAAATTTCCGCACTCCCTCGAGAAAATCTTAGATCCGCTACTGCCCATATATATGGTGAAAAGACTTTGACAGGTCGGTTTATTAAATTACAAAATTAAACAATGGAACAATTTTCTCCAAAAAAAACAAATTTTGTTTTCAAAGAATTGCAAAATCGCAATTCCTTCTGAGTACCTTCGCCATCAAAAAACTTGTATCAAAAAATCAAAAGATTAGGTTCGAATCAGAAGGTTATGCAAGAAAAATAATAAGCACGGAATGATCAGTTGCTATCCCTAATAGTACAGAAATCTCCGACCAAATTTAAATCTACAAAAAAACTCTACTGTTTGGATTTTTTTTTGCAATTTTTAATCAATATTTTATTTGAAAACTTCTCTGTTCAATTGGTTCAAATCAGTGTTCTAGAAGAAAGAAGAGGAGTTTTGATCATGCATCAAAAACTATTAGTAAACTGAAATTCAGGCTTTTTCGGGTTAACAATTTGCTTAAAGGAATCACTTGAATCACTTGTATCCTGACTCACAACGGATTCAAACTTCTTTGCGATCCCGGCCAACTTAGCCCGGAAGCAACAAATGTGCCTGGGACGGCAGAATTACTGAGATATAATCTGTATTTATTTGATAATTATAGATATAATTATTTGTCTGCTTACCTGTTACCGGCTTATTTTTCACATCTTGGACCTGTTTTTTTTTGCTGCGCTCATTTTTGATTGTTGTTTTTAGTCTTTGATTTATTACTCCAGTTTGTAGTTTTACTTACCTTGCCTTTTTTTCTTTTTTATTTTGTACGCTTTCCAAAAAATCCTCGGCCGAATTCCTCGGCCTAAAATAATCGAAAAATTCCCTATCACAGCGACTAAGCTCAAATTTTTTTTTACACTTATAGTTTTGACCCTCGGATTAAACAAATTTTTGATTTTAACCGTTTTTCTAACTTTTTGAATGTTCTCGAAAACTACACTGCCATATTTGAGATTTGGTT